GCCCTTTTATACCTTGTTGTTCAACACAAGGAATTGGCAGGTTGGTCATTAAAAAATGCATTTTGTCTTCCATGTAAAAAGAAAAATGAAAAGATACTTAACCATCCATATTTAGCCGAGCGTGATATAAAATAAGCAAACCTGTTCACATTTTTCTTCTTTTCACAATTCTACCCCACCAACGCATTTGCCGGCATACATGATATGAATGCACGTCTTGTATTCTCTATGACTGGACCCTTGGAAAAATGATGTGGTGTTCGTGCATGTTTTGCGACCCCCACAAACATCAGACAGAGTATATCATGTGAAATGTCTTCATTTGCATGGGTTGACACTTTTTCTCCCTTGTCCACAAAAAAACGTACAGGAAGTGTTGAAAGACAGGTACTTTATGTGTCTAATAAAGTGTTGCAAACAAAATATGCAGATTCAGCACACTCGTTTGGTGTGCAATATGTCCTTGTGCACCAAGCATATCTGATTGCGGCTTTCACAGTCGGATCCTGTAAGATAAATATGTCTTCATTGCAGTATGACTGATGAAATGAGTCTCTTGCAATAAATGTACACATTTGTAAGGACACTACCATATAGGGCTCACTAAGGACACCAGACTGATTTTTTTTTCTGCAAAATGTACCAGAGTGAAGATGATAACATCAGCAAAGGCGCATTTTGTACACACACACACACACACACACACACACACACACACACACACACACACACACACACACACACGCACACACACACAAAAACAGATTTTCAATATGTACATGTACTGTATACACACAAAGGGACTCTCCGCCGAGCCGTGTTTCTACCTCCTCCTGTCTAACATTATTACTGCATTATGTCTTGCATTATTTATTTGAAGAAACGTTTATCTGTATGGCAGGCTTTGCAGGATATAGCCTTAAAACCTGAATAAATCATATGTTAATAGAACAGCTATTTATTGGATCTACTTTTAAAATGCAGTTGATTAATTTGTGTCTTTAAACATATGACTAATTCATATCATAAAAGCAACTCATGAAACATTTTTTTTTCTCCACGATTTAGTACTTTTTGCTCAGTAAAAAAATGCAGACTCACCCATTGGTTCACTTCATCACGCTCCACTTTAAACCCCTCCCCTTTTTTAATTCTATTGGCCAGTCTGTGCGAAAACCCATCCTGGTTCGATAAGATTGGCCAATGAGAACGTAGAGTGACAAATGGAGCCTTCTTAATTCCCGCCCACAACAAGCGGCGCAAGGGGTGATGGGAATTCTAGTTTCGCAGCTTCATAATAAAACGGGCGTTATCCTCAATAGGAACTACAATCGGCGCATCCTGGTTTCAAGAGACGTTCACGGCCCTCGGCTTGATTACAAGACGAAAAATCCGAAGGGACGCAACATTGCTGTGTTTTATGATATAGTTTGGAGGACGGGGACAAAATAAGTATGGTACGTAAAGGACGTGTGTGATGAATAAAATGTACATATATACTCATTAACCAGGAACACCGCTCGCCTTGCTGACAGGCAGTTTAAAGGTAAACTATGCCTGCTAACGTCAGCCAACGCTCCTTGTAATGACAAAGGAAGCTGCTGGCTAATAATAGCAATTTTGCTTCATCCTTGCCCTTGGAAGCGAAAATCTAACTTTACGCAACGCTTGCGCTCAGTAAAGTAACGAATGGTGACGGGTTAGTTTTATTCCTCATTGGAGAGCAGGGACACTTGGACGTCCGTTTTTGCGGGGGGTGATGAGACACATTTTCCGTCTGCCCATTAATGTCCCGAATTTGGTTCGAATCATGCGGCCAGCAGCCACGTCGCTTACAGCACAACACCGAGCGTCTCTGCTGTCGTCTGTCCAGGGAGACCGCGCCTCCAACGGATCGCATTGCAAGAAGGCACTGCTCTCGGACGCGGGGCTATTCGAAGCCCATTTCGAGGAGCTGGTGTGGGAGCTGACAGAGCAAGACCTCACGGACCCCGTACTACGCGACGCCATGAACCGGCTCAAAGAGGTGACTTGGCGGTTGTAATTTCACCAACGACTTGGGACCTGTACTGATTTGGAAAGCGTTGTGTTCGTTTTCTAGGTTTTGCTCTACAACGCCCCGGGAGGCAAAAGAAACCGCGGCCTGTCTGTGATTGGCTCCCTGCGGGAGCTCGTCCCACCGACGAAACTCACTCAGGACACCGTCCAGCGGGCTCTGGTGGTCGGATGGTGCATTGAATTGGTAAGTTTTGTCCCAAATACCTCGTACATTGATTGATTCCTTGTTTTGCGATTAACGCATTTTTTGCTCTGTGGGTAGCTTCAGGCCTTCTTTCTTGTTGCCGATGATATCATGGACGCATCTGTGACTCGCAGAGGACGGCCCTGCTGGTACAAGAAGGTTATGGTTGTTCCATTTGGGTGACGTTTCTCCATTTGTTTTTGTTTCTTTTGCATGATTTCTGTCCGTTTCTTGTTTTTTTTTAAAGGATGGAATTGGTTTGGATGCCATCAACGATGCCTTCCTCTTGGAGGCCTCCATTTACAGGTTGCTTCGCAGACACTGCAGGAACCAGCCCTACTATGTCCACCTACTGGAGCTATTCAATGAGGTATTCTAGGTTTTATTTTGGACAGGATAAAAAAGCTCAGATGATGGATGGATGTATTGGAAAGTATGCGGGGCCAGCACGGTGGTTTGAAAGGTCTTGAGTTAAAAGCTCTACTCAAATCCTCCTGTGTAGCGTTTGTGTGTTCTCCTTGTGTTTGCAGGGGGTTTTCTCGGTGTAATCTGACTTCCTCCCACAAAATCATACATGTTACTTTCACGTGTCAAAACTATGCAAAGGTTTGAGTTTGAATGGCGGGTGAATTAAGTTGCAAAAAGATATTGCAATGCTTTGCCAATATATAGGGTCGCGGGTGAGTGGGAGCCAATCTCAACTGACTTTGGGCAAGAGCCAGGTTGACCCTGGACACAGCCGCTGTTGCTCTTGCATATCTGTATTTTTATATGATTTAACATATGCAAGAGCAGCAGCGGCGGTTGTGTCGCGGGTCTCCCTGGCTCTTGCCCAAAGTCAGTTGAGATTGGTTCCAGCTCACCCGCGACCCTCATTTGGACAAAGGCTATGTTGCACATGAGGGTTTCACAATACTTTTTTTTTCCCCCTTGCAGACCTCCTTTCAGACAGAACTGGGCCAAGCTCTTGACCTCATGACAGCACCCCCTGGTCATTTTGACCTCAACAGATTCACCATGGAGAGGCAAGTAGAAGGCTTGAAGGGAATAAAACTCCGAAAGCGTTGCTTGCAAGCCACTATTCCAGGAAATAATCCAATTTCACTCAGTTGGTGTGGTTTTTATTATTATTATTATTATTATATTTTTTTTCTAACTACAAATGTATATATTCATATGGCAGCAATGTATCGTGACGGGCAGAACCATAGTTTCCACTAATTGTCAGAAGCTACCGTAAACTTTTGCATCCACCTATTAAAATTCATAAAACAGAATTTTTGTATCTTTCAGGTATAAAGCTATTGTCAAATACAAGACTGCTTTCTACTCCTTCTACCTCCCGGTGGCAGCAGCGATGTACATGGTAAGCAAGGCAGTTGTGGAGTCTGCAGTGAAGTAAGGACCAAAAGTCTTCCTGAAATCCATCTATGACATTTTCATAGGCTGGAATCAAGGACGAAGAGGAGCATAGAAATGCCAAACTCATTTTACTGGAGATGGGAGAATTCTTCCAAATACAGGTGAGTTTACTTGGCATGCAAAAACAATTTGTATGCAAGACAAAAAAAAAAAACCTACATATTCCTGTTGCAGGATGACTACCTGGACTGTTACGGAGACCCTGCTGTGACGGGAAAGGTCGGCACTGATATCCAAGATAACAAGTGCAGTTGGCTTGTCGTCACGGCGATGGAGGTCCTAACCCCTGAACAGAGAACAGAGTTAGAGGTGGGTTTCAGTATCGCAATTATCAATAGTTTTAATGTTTGTATAATTTTGCAGGCGCAGCAAGAGCTCAAATTACGGTGCTGTCCATGTGCCCTTCATAGCAAGTCATTACAATTATTATTATTATTATTACAATATATTTTATATCATTGCTTATTTGTGAAAACCCTTATTGTGGATACATATACATTATAATAAGTATGAAAAAAGCTGCATCCCAATAAATGCCTGACATAATATAAGACTGGTAACCTCTGCCGCTAAGTAATTAAACGCTCTGAAACATTATATGACAATACGGTAGCGTATTATATTAAAATGGGAGTAGGAAAAACATTGAATTTATTCTCGTCATTCGTAAATAAATAGTGACTCTTTTCTGGATTGAGGGTGGCTTAAATGACCTTCTTTGACTGACTAAAAGTTGCATCCATTCTCCCCCTCAGGCGTGTTACGGGCGGCACGATGACGCCAGCGTGGAAAAAGTCAAAGCGCTATACGACATCCTGGAGATGCCAAGCCTCTACCGCAAGTACGAAGACGAGAGCTACCAGCGCTTGCAGAAACTCATCGCGTGTCACGCTCAGAACCTTCCTCACGCTGTGTTCCTCAACTTTGCCAAGAAGATCTACAAGAGGAAAAAGTGAAGAGGAACATGGAACAATGTTAAAGGACTTCAGGTGGCTTAAGTGGGGGAGTAACAAAACCATCGAGCCATTGGTTTAATTCCATTCACACTTTAGCTTCTTATCTATTTATTGCAGCATCTCCAGTCATTATCTACTCGATAGTTGATGGTTCAGTTGTGATATGTTACATAGTTGCATGTATTTTGCTAGACGAAATACGAGAGCTTCATATCGAGGCAGACCCGCTTTCTTAAGTGTATTTTTATAAGGCCGCTGCAATGGACAGATTGTTTATTGCCTTTAATAAATCACAAATAAACAGTTATAATATTCTGGTCTCTGCCTTGATGAATTTTGTTTTAATGCGTCATAAAATGAACCACCATTTTCCGTTAGGGTCACAGGTTAGCAGGAGCTTATCTGAACTAATTTTTGGAAAGAGGTGGGATACACCCTTGACTGGTCATTTGTCATTCACATTTTCAGAATCAGAATCATCTGGATGTAGAACACAGAATTTGTCTCCGGTAGTATAGGCTACGCTAGTATTTTCACCACTAAGGACAAGTTACGGTCCTCGATGTGACACTAAGACAAGATTTAAACCTCAGAACTGCGGCAGATGTGCTAACCATAAGACCACTGTGCTGCCTTGTCAGGGTTTCAGTGAACTCTCTGGAGACTGTTGTTTCCAGATCAGTTTCTCATCATAACCGCTGGAATACCTGAACAAAACCGACACAAACACGCATAGAGCATGCAAACTCCACACAAGAAGGCCGGAGCCAGGATTCAAACTTAGAACCTCTCCACTGTGAAGCAGACATGGCTACCACTAGTTCCCACCGTGCTGCCCTAAAATGAACCTCCTCCTTAAATATTAAAACTATAAATCGTTGCAAATAAATTCTCATGAAAGCCAGAAGTGGGGTTGGAAAGTAATTAACTCGGAAACCGAACGAGACGAATGAGATGTTATGACAAGACAAGTAAAGGGGGAAGGGGGGGGGGCGGTCAGCGTCTGGCAAAGGTGACGTTGATGCTCGGGGCTGGTGCGGAGTCTCAACGGACCGCTACGCCCTTGCCGGAGTCACGTGACACGCGGGGCCCAGCAGTGCCGACCACGTGACCGAGTACCCTCCCTCCTCCTCCTCCCTCGCATCCTTTTAGCGGTCCGCGTAGTCTCGACGCTCGCGAGAGGACCGGGAGGCCGATACTCTTCACGTCCGGGAGAAAGCCATTCCGACACGGACTGGAACGCCCGAGATGGACGCCTTCTCCTTTGACGTGAGTCCTCAAACCATCTAAATCGTTGCGATAGCTTGCATAGAAGTGCATCTGAAATTTCCCAATGGTCGTCCGGTTAAATCCTCACACTCTCACGTATCGTAGGTACCGCTTTAAAACGATCGCTTGACATCATTAGGTTATAATGTATTATAAATCCTATCCCATTATGTGAGAGGAGAGTGGGAATATGTGCACAATGCGAGCGGGTCGGCCTTCATTTTTAGAGCGATGCGGATGGTACCACCACCCCACCTCCCTCTCTCCACCTTCTTCCTCCTCCCAGTCTCCATCATGTCGATAGGATCAATAAATGCAGGCTCAATACACAGTCAGCAGAGTCAAATTGCTTGTCATCACGTCCTATTTTCCAAGGAATTTTCCTTTTTTTGTCTCTTTGGCGTGACAATGGAGAATGAGACGTGTGTGTGTGTGTGTGTGTGTGTGAGAGAGAGATTTATATTCCAGTGACGCAAAAGGGCACAGTGCAGCAATGAGCAAAAGCCTTCCTCTCATGCAGCCTCATTGCTGCTGCCTGATTATTTCATGCTCCACTTAAAGCAGCTCCTCATAGCTTTAAGGGATGATGTGCTTTTCTTCTCCTTCTTTCAAAGAAAAAAAAAACACATTCGTATTCATTGTGAGCTGGTGAGGGTGGATGCACAGATGGAGACAGAAAACAACAGCAGTGAGCAGGCCAAACAGATGATGGTCATGATGAGTGGCATTATTAGTACTAGTGTATAAATTGGATTAGAATTATAAGAAAGAGGAGTAGTTTAGATTCAGGGTGTAACATTAAGTATGTCAACTTTGAACGCATGCACTATAAATTCTTCCGTTTTTTTTTTCTAAAGATGATTTTAGTAATTATTTGTGTGTGTATAATGGATTCTCTCTCTCTCTCTCTCTCTCTCTCTCTCTCTTTCTCTCTCTCTCTCTCTCTCTCTCTCTCTCTCTCTATATATATATATATATATATATATATAGATATATAGATAGATAGACAGATAGATATAAATATATTTCCAAGTGCCATATTAAATGTAAGCAAAATTATGATCAGACACATCCATCCAATTTATTAGCTCATTAGAGTCGAGGGACTCGAACCCAGCTGACTGTGGGCAATAGGCAGTGTACAGCATGAAATGGTCACCAGCCAGTTGCAGTTAAAAAAAAAATGTTTATTACATATAATGAACATTTGTGGGTTAAATTTTGATTTCTATAACAGTTCCTCTGAGGTTTTATTTATTGTTAAAATAACGTGACATGCTGGATCAAATGCTCTTGATCCAGCTTGATTTGTATATGGCTGACAAGCCGCGAGTTATCCACCACCGCTCTGGACGATTGCTTTAATTTCAAAAGCGTGATGCAAAAAAAGTCCTATATTGCGCATCATCAATATTCACCATGTTTCCTTTGATGTTTCAGGGCCTAGGATGTGATCCCAACATGTGATCGTCACGCCACTCAAAATTTGGCTTGGCCCAGCGTTTGTTACAATAAAACCAAAGTATCTCATCTTCAAAACCCCCCCCCACAAAAATCACTTATCACAATGCAATCTTCTGGCTGCTCCGCTCAACTCGGCAAGTCACGGCGTTTCGACCTGAGCAGACGGGCCACGACCTGCATCGCACCAAAGTCTCGCGGTTCTCAGAAGGAAGATAAAAACATGAACACCGTCACCTCATCCTCTCCCAGACGAGTAACTAAAGCGCCCGTCGCCCCGCCCAGGAGCAGGCCAGCGGCGCAGCCTCGAGTCCCGCTTAGCCAAAGTAGGTTAGGTGCGCAAAAACAGAGCTCTTTCCCCAACAAATCAGCTAAACCTAAACCCAAGAGTGTTCGTACAGTGGCGGTGGCGGCGAACAAAATCTCGCCTCCTCTTCCTCCGGCTCCTTCCGTTCTCCCCCTTGACCCCAACTGCAATGAGCCGAGCCTGCCGTGCTTGTGCTGCGATGGCCGCTCGCCGCAGGACAACAACAGCATGTTCAACCATAACCACAACAACAACAACACCGTTTCTCTCAGGCACCAACTGCAGCTTCCTCCTCCGCCCCCGGTCATTGCACCCCAGAGGAAAAACGGGACGGGGGCGGAGGAGCAGCCTCAGTTCCCGGCTCAAGCAAAGCCGCAGCCTCCTCCTCAACCCGCCACCAATGAAGGCGTGTTTGAAAAAGCCGATCCGGATGACAAGAAAGACGTTAAATCCGAGGAAGAGGACGACGACAGCAGCAGTGGCGATATCGATATTGACGATGAGGACGATGATGATGGCGACCGCGATGACGAGGACGATGACGACACCCTTGTGCCCTCGTGCTGCGACTGCCCTCCCTCCCTGCTGGAGTTCTCGCTTTCCTGCTCGACCTCCTCTTCCTCCACTTCCATTAGCTCCTGCTCCGATTTAGAGTCTGACTCTGCAGATCAATACACTCCCCAACACCAAGATCCTCTATCGGTGTCAATCAAAGAGTCTTCTCCGCAATGTCAACCACCTTCCCGATCACTCCCTTCCTTACCAATCAGTCGCAGTCCCTTCAATTTAACGTCACACACGCCCGTTTCGTCCCCGGATGAGGGCTACCCCTCAGCCTTGGACACCCCTTCCCCAGACTACTTGGGAATCAAAGATGATCCCGAAGTCACCAAGCTGGGATTGCTTGACTTCCTGGAATCAGTGGGAGAATTTGGCAAAATGGAACGTTTCAGTCAGGTGATCCAAGTGGCCCGTTGGGATTTGGAGGGCGAGCAGAATTGGGACGTCTTGAGAGATCGCTTGGACCACTTGGATCGCTTGGAGAAGGTCAACAGGGAAATCAAATTGGCATACGTAGCCAGACTCCACGAGAAGGGGTTTGAGCTCGGCGATCTGGAAGAGCAGGACCTCTCCGACATCATGGATAAAATGGGCAACGTCGATCTGGGCTGGAAGCTGTACAAAAGCGGCGCGGGATTCATGGGAGAGTCGCAGGAGTTCTCAGACGCCGGCGTGGACCTGACGGCTCCGTCGGACTGCGACGATCCTCTCGCGCCGGACTCCCTGACCCCTTCCCCGGCGGAGCCGCCTCCTCGACCCCCGAAGCCTCCGGCTCGTCATGCCAGCGTCAACTCCGACCTCCACACCTACATCAACATCAGTCGGGAGACCACCTCCATGGCCGTGTCCACCTCGCCCACCTTGTCCACCTTCTCACCCAATTCTTCCTCTCCCACGTTCACCACCTTTCGCTGCGAGAAACCTTTGCCCCCGTCTCCACCGTCAATCCCTCCCCTTCCTGCCTCCAAACCTGTCCAGTACCTAACTCTTTACACCGCCTCCTCTCCGTCCATCCCCACGCCGACTCCTCCCATTCCTCCACCTCGGAAAAGACACCTGGCCAGGAAGGAGGCCCAACGCCTCGCCGCTCTTCAAGCAGAACAGGAAAAGACCCCCTTGTCCTTGCCGCCTCCTGCCACACGGCCACCGCCTTTGCCCCCGCCACCGGTTATATCATCCTCCCTACTACCCCCTCCGGGTATACCCCCACCGCCGCCGCCACCGGCACTGCCTCCTTCGCCTTCATTCCACGCTCTGGATGTGGAGATCCATAAGCTGTTGATGCTCGCAGGATTGACTCAAGCTGAGCTCCTCAAACTGAGCCCAGAACTCGGCGACTGCGTCGGGGTGTTCGAGGAGGAAGACGGGGGGTTCAGGCTACCGGAAGAATACAGGGAATGTGAACGGGAAATCGTGGAAAAGGACAGATGTAGTAGCAGAGGCAAGTCAGCTGGGGATGGAAGGGCAGATATTCCCCGGGAGGGGAAGATAGAGGAACCCAAAGAGGCCCAGAGAACCACCTCATTCTCAGAGATGGCTCGAAAACGAAAGAAGAGCAGCATTCTGACATCGGACATTTACTACAGCACCACCTTAAGTCACGCGCAGGACACGAAAGCAAAACACATGAGCTTTGAGTCGCACCATTATGCAGATGAGATGCTCGATTCACCGCCCCCTCCTCCTCCACCTCGACCTTTACCCCCAATCCCACCAAGCGTGCCCCCCCTTAGAGTTAGCACGCTCCTGGCTAACTCCGCACGGCCTGAGCGTTTCGATTGGCTCATCGCTTTCACACCCGAGGCCGACATTCCGCCGCAGCCCACTCAATTAAGAAAATCTCACATGGAAACGGCAAAGAAAAACTCCCCAGTTCCAAAAGTCACCAGCTTCAAAGAGTTGCGTTACCGCAACAAAAGTGGCGCCCCTGCAACTAAGGTGATCACCGACCCCGACCCCGACCCCTCAGTCATCACCCCGGACCCCGACATACTGTACAACCTGAAGTGGAGACGCGAGAAGGAGGGCAGCGGAGGCAGCCAGTGGGAGTATACCTCTCAAGCCCAGGCCCTGTTCATGCAGCCGCCCCCAGCCCTCACCTCCATGGCGGCTCTGAAGGAGATGCTGCAGAGGGCGGACGAGGAGAGTGCAAGAGGTGACAAGTTAGGCTGCTCCCTCAGTGACGGCAGCCTGTGGACGACCAACAGAGAGTGGGAACACCGAGATGCGGTGAAGAAGGAGCACAAGGAGAGGCGCGAAGAAGAGGAGGTGGAAGTGCGAGGACAGGCCGACGGAGGGAGGACACTTGAGTCGAGAACCACTGGTGAGAAGCCATTTTCATGATTTACTCTTAGATTTAAGGTGTATGTGTGAGCAATCGTGTCGGACAAATACTGGATGACTATAGAGGGGATAAACAACATGTTCTGACTTATTCAGGTTCCCCCCCCAATGTAGACAAAATCATCCGGATGCGCTTCCTCAACAGTTTATGAATCAATTAGGAATTGGACAAGACCCCTTTGTTCACCTTTGGATCTTAATTTGTCATCGAGAAGTCCAGGTCAATGTGGAGGAATGAAATAAAACTAGACAGTGTGGTTAGCACATCTCACTCACAGTTTTACGGTTCTGGGTTATAAACTCAGGTTAGCATTTTAAATGAACCTAACAGGCATGATCTGAGATTATAAACTCTGGACTGTTGAGACAGACGTGCTCAACGCTTTTTCACTGTGCTGCCTAGAATGTATACCACAGAGTCTAAGGTTGCACGGTACCTCATTCTGTGACTCATGTTTATCCCGATGAAGACCATCGGCTTATCAACTCACTTGGGAATGCACTGATAATATCACAGTGCAATATAATTTAAAGTAACAGTTATGAACACAATGGAGAGAACAGGAGTGGCAAGATGGAGGATGAACATGAGTCACAGAATAGCATGATGCACAATGCTTACAGATAATGAGAGGACAAACTGTGAGGGATGACTGTGTGTGAAAGGGAGATGGATTGTGAAGGTAATATGAGGAGAAGGTTGGAAAGACTCCAGCCAGTGTTCTTGGTTATCAGAGTGTGATGTCATCACTGCCTCATTCAATTATTCATTGCCTCTCCTGGCGAAGCGAGGAAGAAGGTCTAAAGTCCTCTGGAGAGCTCACCAGATTTTTGTTTCGACCACCCTTTTAAGTATACGGTATAATCTGCGTTGTCTCGTTTGCTGTCTGTTTTGGTGATTTTTAAATCCATCACTTTGGGGGAAATCGCTTCCCGTGTACTCTGCCTTCTTCTCCCCAGGGTGACAGATAGCTCGGCTCGGGTTTCTTATCTCACGCGGTGCTGCTCGAAGCCAAATAGAAACTATGAAGCTTGTCAAGATAAAGCATGATTTATTTCAATTGAGTCCAATCATTCTAACAGTTACATCAATCCACAATTACCAAGACTACACAGTGACGGATTTTAGCTCAATTATAAACGTGTGACTTTTTAAGTGTGTACACCTTTAAGCTTTAAGGAGGCGGGTCTTAGAAGCTTGACCAATTACCGACACTCTTTTCCCCCAAAACAGGAAGTGTTGCGTGTTTACTTATAACTAGTGTCGAAACGAGGTACTTGTTGAACTCGGTCTTACTTTGAATGCCAGGAGTTATCGTGCAGAATTTAATGATTAAATCGTCGTGCCGTTCACCAGTGTTCGATAAAGACCTGTACTGATATTGAGAAAGAGTAGACTCGAGAACATTGCGATCTGACGTCTGACTCAGCGTGTTCGTGTGGGGGTGGAGGAAATCTAAATGCGAGTACCTGTACATGGAGAAAGAGCAGGTAACGAGATGATTCATTGTTATCTTAAGCTCTTTGAAAGTACTTGGGAGCTTCTTTTTTTCAGTCACAGGCAAATCTGAAAAGTGAAAGTTAAACTTGTAGTTTCATTGATGACACATGGATTGTTCACCTTTATTTTTGTGTCATCTCTTGCCGTTTCCATCCAGCTAAAATGCAAGCGTCCTCCTGCTTTTCATGAATCACTGTAACTGTTGAAATGATCTTATTACTTCAAGTATGTCTTTTCTGATGTGATACACTCATAAGTGTGCATTTTCTCTCAACAGACACTAACATTCTCTGCATCTCTCTCCTTCCCGTTTACCACTTTTTTTTTTTACTTTATTACCTTTCCAATTTTGATGTCTCCATTTGTTTGTCCACGCCGCTCCCGCATTACGCTGCTTATGGCTTCTGCACCTTTCCGATAAGCAGTTTCCTCTCCCCCACTATCCCTTACCCAGCCCTACTTCCTCCACGCTGCCCCTACTTCCTATCAACAGGGCCACTTCCGTATAAATTCCAGGCCACAGGCACAAATCGGCCGAGAGTCCTCCGACACCCAACAAAGACCGCGGTGGGCTTATGCCGACGCCGTGTTAAGCAACCAGTCCAGCGCAGATTTTGGTTCTTCCAAACGTGGGAAGGAATTAAAGCAAAATACAGAAAAGCAAATTTCCAGTGGTTGCAGAATCGATGAGATGGTGGGCTCTCAGTGTAATTTGGACTCTCTCTACTGCAGTGACAAGCAGAGCATCGCAGACGGCCGTTCTGCCGATGCTCCTGAATGCACCACCCCATATAAAAACATAGACGTCATGATGACACATCCATATGGTCAAAAAACCCAAAGGGACCGTAACGCTAACAACACCAGGGCGTCCAAAGACCTGCCCCCTCTGCCCACATATTACCTGCACCGCTCCAAGCATTGCCCACTGCATGGGGGCTCCCCTCCTCGCCTTTCCCCAATCGGAGCCCTCTCGCCTCCCCTACGTTCGGGGGCGCTCCCTGCGGGCCCGGCGGGCTCCAGCCTCACCTCGCCTCTTTTCCCCCGATCGCACACTCTTCCCGCCCTGGCCCCCCCCTTCTACTACCCGCACTTGTATCCCACAATGCCACTCTGTGCTCCCCCTCTGCCCCCAAAACTCTTCCAGGCTTCTCGACAGCCGCGCGTGGCCAGTAAGCTCTCTCTTTCTCTTCTTCCTCGTTACATTATGTCTGTCATTGTCTCTCTACTTTATTGTCTTGATTCCCTACGCGGTGTCTTGATTGGATTCAGAAATCAATGTGAAAGAAATATCAACGCAGCGGCTCATGCTTCCTGTTCTTCTTAAAGCTGCGAAAAGAGGCTTGCGTGTGGTGACATCTGCTTGTGTCAGATTGGGTTCTTGCTACTCTCTGTCCCTTTTCTGTCCATCTGTTCTTGTGTGACTCGTCTGTTCTTTTCGACTCTTAAATTGTTGCATTGTTGTGTACTCAAAAAACAAAGATAGGCAAGTCAACTTTGGTTCAAATCCTTGGCTTTTTGCCTTTTAAACATTTCATATATTGTTATTATATCGCGGCTCACAAAAAGTTCGATATTCAGCTTTTGGGTGAAATTTTCGGACGAACCTAAAACCCACCAACTTAATTTTACCGGCTGTTTGAGTGCGCTTCTCCAGCTGTTTGATGTTAAAGAGCAATTGATGTTCATCGTTGGAAGTTCACCCGAAACGTTCCAAAAAGCATAAGAGCCATAAAATTTTGTGAGGGAAATGAAATGTTGTATGTATGCTTAAATGGCACAGTCACTGTGCATCCTTAGCCTCCCATCCAACAAACTCCAGAGAGTAGCCCTTAGCTAACACACGCCACCAAATGGCAACGCTGTGGGTTTGGTATCATTTCATGTCGTGATGAGGACGTAGGTCGCTTTACAGTGGAAATTCTGCAGTAGGAAAAAAAAAAGTTCAATCCATAATACTGATTAAACTCCAATTTTGTTCATATTTTAACACAATTTTTTTTTCCATTGAATTTCTTCTGATTGGAAATAATGGAACAGAAAAAAAAATCATTCTGGCGTCAAGCTGTTGTCGTCATAAAACATATCGGCTGATAATGAGTCCAATCTGATACCATGGCCATGCCTTAACTAAGAGATAGAGTGGCGCACATTTGATTTGCGCAATGTTTTTGTGCAAATTATGAGGAGTATGTTTCCCGAAAGTAGGGGTTATTGCTCATTTGTTTCCAAATTGGAAGGCTCTGCTGTAGTTTGCCACCAGAACCTTGTAGTTAAAGCCATCACATGAAGTCCAGTAGTTACATTTAGTTACTTGGGGTTAGGCATGGTGCCATAAAATTCATTTGATTAGTGTTAGATGAATAAAGTAAAACATGTTTATGCTAATTCCTTGCCCCTTTTCGATGAGCTCCTAGTGAAAACAGCTTGTTTGAATGTGATGTCTACATGTTACCTAGACCAGTGTTTGCCAACCTTTATTGAGCCAAGGCATATGTTTTGCTGTAGAAAAATCTCATGGTACACCACTCCAAAAAAAAAAAAAAACAATGGAGGAGAAGCGGCAGTAAAACAGGCCAAAATCCGTATGTCTGGTGGTGAGGCAGGGCAAAAAAGTAGTTGCATACTCGGTGTGATTTCACTTCAAGGTGTCACAATGCACAATTAATCAACAAGTAATCGATGAGGAAATTAATCCAAACCGTTAAAAAAAATTTTTTTTAGCTCTCGATGACACCCAAAAAATAAGCTGGTGCGAGCGCAAGGCTTGGGATGCGGTAATTGGTCATGTAATAAATGATCTGTGTCATGACATCGAATAATCTCTCACGGCACACCGATGCTCCACGGCACGGTGGTTGGCAATCACAGCATAAGAGATGAAGAAACGTAAAATGGCCAAATTCCTCTCATACCACGACGTTATGAACTCACTCCCTCTTCTCGTCATCTGTAGTGCCATCTGCTTTTTTTCCTGCCTTCTTCTCCTCATCGCTGATGACACCTCTTTAGTTAAGATATTCCTCTCCGCCATGGCTTCTTTTGCGCTTGTTAATATGAGTTTTTAAATTCCTCTAAGTCATCCGTCTTGTTTTAATTTTTTTTTATTTATTTTTTAATTTTTTTTTACTGCTGCCACTGCCAGCTGTCCGCAGTGTGTCGTTCGCTGGGGCTGCGCAGAGAGGCGACGCATCCTGGATGGGCGAAGATGTGCCGCATCCGATGAGAGGACATCGCCTCTCCTCTCTGCACCTGCTGGAAAAGAGAGGTATTGCCGCTGCACTTTTTTTTTTGGGGGTGGGGGGGGTGTTATTGCGACTTTCCTGTAAAGCCGTGTTGTCTTTTTTATTTTTATTTTTATTTATTTATTTATTTTAAACTTTAACGGTGCACTTTTGTTTCTGCTCCAGCTCTCGTCAGTGCCGTCAGTGTGGCGGTTGAAGCCGTCTTGGCCCAGTTCAATTCTTCTCGGACGCTGGTTCAAAAGGTGAATCGCTTTGCTGTCGACTTGTTTACTCGGAGCTGATCGGCCGGACCGGATTGGCAGAAATTTCGCGTTTCGATCCCGAATCAGTGATCGGGTTGTTTTGTCACAGATTGCTTATCGCTCAATGAATCATCGAGCTGATCCGCCAAATTAAATAGTAGCTCTGAAACAAGGTCATATCACCGTTGTTACTGCTCGCCTGTGTTACGTGCAACGCCCCCCCCCCCCCACACACACTCAAGAGCTCAATCACAGTTGTGATGCGGCTATTTTGCGTGATTTCTGAAAGAGGCGACTGACTGTTACTTGAAACCAACAACGCTAGACTTACTCACATGCATTCCATCGGAAAGCAAAAATCATGCGTTTGATTTGCCGTAGCTTGCATGCTTTCGCCTCCCATCTACTGACATATCGTCCTCCTCTCCCACCATCTCCAGGCCTTATCAGGAGACAGCACAGTAAATCCATCGCTGGGCCGTCTGGTGCTGCAGTGCCTCTGCCCCGCCCTCCACAGCCTGCTGACGGACGGTCTAAAGCCCCACCAGAGTGATCTGATTGCGGGCAGGAGGCCAAATTCAGCCTGGAGCTTGGTCTTGGCTTCAACGCGGCCAGGTCGGAGAATGTATTACGGAAATAAAAATTGCTAGATTTCATTGTCGAGCTGTATAGTATATTCATCCCATTGGGAAATTGACTGAGATTTTGTCTGCATTTCTGCTTTCACGCACGCAACAGCATTTTTACTGTTTCTTACCTTATACTGTGTGTGTGTGTGTGTGTGTGTGTGTGTGTGTGTGTGTGTGTGTGTGTGTGTGTGTGTGTGCATTCAGGTCCTAAAACACAAGCCCTGTTCAATTTACAAGTTCGAGTTGGCGAATTGCCTCAGCTCAAACAGAGCAAACAGCGCTTCAACGCATTCGTCCTCGGATTACTCAAGTAAGTGCTGCTTCGTTGGCGGAAATAAATGATTTCTTTTATCGCATTCTATAAATCCAACTCTCTTATTATTTTTTTTTTTCTAGTTCAAAGCAACTTGATTTCTGGGTGTCTCACCTTCACTCTAGCAGTGGTAAGTTTGCTGGGATTTTTGTTTGTGCAGATCTGTTTGTTATTTGAATGGCCTTTTGCTTTCTTTACTTGGAACATTTTGTCAGTAGAAATGCGTTTTCCATGTAAATGCGCTAATCCGTTCCAAGCGCCCCCAAAATTCAGACATAAATGTTTTCTAAAGCATAAAAATGCATCAAAACATGTAACAAATACATGTTACAATTAGATTATTGCACAATAAATGAGAGTTGTGCATAATGTAACAAATCTACACACAGAGACACCTACGATCGAGGTCCCTCTTAGCCAATGGGATGCCTGGATGATACTCGGTAATAGCCAATGGCAGTGGAGCTATTAGTATGTTGCGTTCAGGAAACTCAGAGCTGCGCGGAGCAGCCCATTGCTGTATTTTTACCATTCATATCTTGAAATTTCTTTCGGAACAAGAGGCCATATTTGCCTGTTGAGGCGTTTCGTAACTTGAAAATTTTGTATGAAGAGACGTTCGTAAGTAGAGGTACGACTGTATACAAAAGAGGAAGAATCATCAGCTGTATGACGTCCCTCCAGTTACCGTCATGTTGTTGATTCCCAGATGTGATGGAGGCGTACTACCGTCCGTCGTCCTTCATGCGCTTGTCACTGAGCGCCTTCCAGCCCCTCTTCGACGAGCTGCTCCTGGTGCTGCAGCCTCTCAGCCTGCTTACCTTCAACCTCGACCTGCTCTTCCAGCACCACCACTTAGAGCCCCACAGCCCCGCGCCACACGTGCGCAGTCCCCCCAGTCAAGACGCGGGACAGTCGACAAAGCCCATCCGGTCTGAAATTCGAGGCGGCAGACACATGGAAAGCCTCTCGGAGGTAGACTTTACAGGTCCCGGACGTCAGGCAGCTGATGAGGGTAAAACTACTGCTAATAATGGAGGGTGGCCACTCACTCTGGGTCATACAAGTCCTCAGCTACGGTGGGTTCAGGACAAGAGGATTGGCGAACTCCCTCCTCCAAACACGGAAGAGGAAAGCCTCACTCAGCAGGCTGGACAGGTACTCACTTTCTGTTGGAGTTAAAGTCATGTCATGACGCTTCGGCGCTGACGTTTGTATTCCCAATTCCAGGTGATCCAGCAGGGGTGGGGTGCTGTGATGCGCTGGGGAGGCAGACTGAGCCAGAACCTGGCCGAGCTCAACCTGGCCGCAGGGCAGACGGATGACGCGAGGTCCAGTCTGCCGGATCACCGAGCCCAGACAGGAAGCGACTTCGCCCCAGTTAGCTCTCTCGCGCAGGTGCCCTGGAGTTTGGGTCGTCTCTTTGGTTCTACCGCCTCCAAAAGCCCCAATAGTCCAGTGGGTCACGCACCGACAAGCAGGCGAGTCTTATTAAAAGTGTTTTGGGTCGGGGCTCCACGAATGAGTTCACATCTCTTATCTGTGCTCACAACCATCCAGGCGTCCTTCGCAGTGGTTGGCTCCGAGTGTCACGGCGCTCACCCGATTGGTGAGCAGCACTTCTGCCCCGGTTTTAAGGAAAACCCCAGAACCAATGGAAGAAAGTCGCACGATGTCAGAGAGAACGTCTGCCACTCCAGAGACAGCAGAAAGACCACAAAGGTACTTTTGCACGCCAGGGTTCACCAACCAACCGAAATTCAGTCATGATACAAAGAATTTCAGTTTTTTATTTTTTAAATAACCCATTTAAGTTATTTTGAATGGCTGAGTGAAAAAAACTTGAGTTTGCAGTACATTTGTGACCCGATTTCCGCGTTGTCTACTTTGGGAAATTTTTTCAATATTTTTTTTCATTTAACTCTTCAAATTAAACGCTCAGTTCCCCCAGCTAATGTGTTCATTTATCCCCTCCCTTGAAATTAAAGTGGCACTCATGGTGATGATGTCATTGCGCGTCTTTGTGTGCCTTACACGACACGCCTCCTCCGTCTGGGCTGCGGGCCGCTCCTCAGGTCTGTGCGAACGCTGTGCGACCACGCTGGAGCGGGCTCCGAGCTCAGCTTCCGCAAGGGCGAAGAGCTTGTCATCTTGGGTGGTGTCGACCAAGACTGGATCCGCTGTCGACAGGGAGACAGAGAGGGGCTGGTACCGATTGGCTACACCTCGCTCATCATGTGACGCCACAACAGCTGCACTCTGTGAATTAATGATGGGAAAATAAAACATGAAAAAAAAAATATATATATTTATATATATATATATATATATATATATAGTGTATGTATTTTGGGGCAAGCACTGAGAGGTTCTCACAAGGTTCCAGTACTCTTAAAGGGATATTTCACTTTAAAGGCAATGTTCATCACAGTCCATCTAGTATAGTGGAGCAAATGGCATCAAATTCATGATATTTAAGTGAAATATCCCATTAAATGCACTTCCTGCATTGTCTGCCATCCTGGGCAGCCGCTGATCTCAGGGCACTTAATCACCGTTAGGTCTATCAGATCAGCGGCCGCCACCGAAGTAGACACCCAAGGCGGCGGCCATTTTGGGATGACTGTCCCAGAACCTCCTGTTGCATACGTGATCATGTAGTGAACCGTAGCCGTGTGTACATGTGTGTTTTATTGCCCTTTCGCCCACCCCGACTCCCCTTTTACTCCTTCGGTTTCATTTGTGTTTGACATTTTACTGCTGTATAAATATACATAAATATATATAGAACATATAAATATATATAGGTCTATATATACAGTATACATATATATATATTTCAAGTGAAATTGCATTAAACATCGCAACCGTAACGCAGGTGGATCCGTTCTCATGCATCCGTCACACATGCGCAAAGTAAAAAGGGGGTGCGTGTTTGAAATCCAATTTCTTCCTTCCCACATGTGCGTCTTGAAAATCAAATGCATTCGCCGCATTTCCTCAAATAGCGGCCACTGCTCAAATAGATGCTGCGCCTGAATTCATGATCCTCCATCTTTTTTTTTTTTTTTTTTAATCGTGCTTGTCCTCGTTAGTCAACTTGGGCTGACTTTGAACAAGAGGCTGGTTGCCACCAAAAAAAAAAAAAAAACGCCTTTTTTTTGTTTTTTTTACCCAGGTGGTACAATCAATGCTGCCTTGATCTGCAAAGAGAAATTCTTAACAATATTATTGTGAAGTAGCTACAAATTCTATTCTCTGGGACCAATGAGTCTTCAAATAAAGGTCCCCTCTCAAAATGCTGAAGTACTATGGCTGCTATTTGAGGAAATACAATAGCATTCTGTGATTCTCATCCAGTTATTAAGGCTAACTCATTCCCTCCCGATTCAAACCGGCATGGGCTCATTAATCTTCGCTCACATTTGAACACTATTTAAACTCGATGCCGCAAGCAAAACCCTCTCATGTATGTGGCGGTGTGACGATAGTAATAAAAAAATAATGTTTGTTGCCTTTTGCATCCACGTTTAGCCTGTGAGCCTGCCATGTTGAAACTTCTCTCGTCATCGATATTAGCAAAAGTGGTCGTAGAAAGTGGTCATGTTGTGGCAGTGATGTTCATACACTACTTTGCCATTTATTTGAGTGATTCTTCTCATTCGTGTCATTGGCAAGCCATTGCACGCGGGTTAATGTACAAACGTACAGTCGAGTTGATTCATTTGCTAGAAAGTCATCCAGCCATGTGTTTGGTTGCACCGTCTGTATCCTGAGCTGGGATTAGAAGGGAAAGGAGTCATTGTCTTATTTCATGTTTGGGGAAGAAAAAAAAAGCGAGAGAGGGAGTGAGCGAGGTAAAGTTGAAATGTTTACCACTTAGTTTTGTTTTCTCTTACTGATCAAATCAGGGAACACTTTTGTTATTGTGTCAATGACTGTGTAGCATTACTGTCACCGTGGAAACAGTAGCATTAAGTTAGGCCGGTGCTCATAACTGACGACTCAAGTTGTTGCCGTCAAATAGACGAGTTCACAAGAATCAATCAGTCTTGCTCGAACATCACTTGACACGTTTTATTGTTTTTGCATTACCCCCCATGTGAGGTAATGACTGCCATGCATTTGTTTGCACGCATTTTATTTATTGGATGTACTATTTATTGCTCTTTGAGTCGAATCGCTGGGTTTTGAAACGTGTGAGCGTACGTGTACGTGTCAGGGAAAGCACATTGTAGAATTTCACTTGTGTGTGTGTGTGAGTGTGTGTGCAAATGGGAGTGTAACATGGGTAGTAGTCGGTAGCTTTCGTCTCCTCCTTTCCTCTCTGGTGTCATGTAGCCCGTAGACATGCCCTGTGCTCTAATATTGATTACGGCCTAAAGCGTCCCTGTCACTGTCCACTTCCTGCATGCGCTTGTTTGTACATACACCAAATAAAACCTATCAATATGAACCAAACCTGTTTTTCTGTCATTTTTAATTGAGTCTTGTATTGAACACAGCTCAATGTTAAAGGGGAAGTCAAGTCAGACATTGTCGAAACAATATGTTCGATGCGGCCCCACTGGTTTTGTAAAATGGGAGGCATACATACAGTAAATATTGTTGGCATTCCGCTATGGATGTAAAAATGCTGAAAGAGGAAGTCAAGTCAAAAATGTCTTCACACTAATAAAATCATCTATTTTCTGAGTTTGGTCATGTGACATTCGCAAGCTGTACCGTGATTGGTCATTACCTGCGACCTGAGGAACGGTGACGTAATTTCCAATTGACAGCAAGTGGCAAAACGCCCCCCCCCCCACAGATGGATAAAAATGGGTGGATTTTGCCGCTTAATTTATATTCCGCAACCCCAATATTAATCACAATTACGTGCTTTGACGAGAGGTGCATCATAGAACATGTGAAGAAAATTTTAGACTTGATTTACCCATTAAACTTTTATTTTGAAAGTTAAGCTTCGGAACGGTGTTGCAGCCTATCATCCACTGCACCTGCGGTCCCTTTTCTGCTGCTGTTCTGACGACGAAATATAAGTTTAAACGTGGATATTGGGATGAACGGGGACATAAACCTCACTGTGCGATATGATATGAAGTAAAGTGATGAAGTGAGTAGTTTTCACCTGGAACTTAATGAAGAAACATTGAGTGTGAATTCTAGAACCTTGACTCGGGTGCAGACTGTCTTAAATTCCTTTAATAGGCATTAATTTGACGTGTAAATTAAGACTGGTAAGTGTATACATCAGATGTACAAGTACAAAATCTATGTATTAGCCGTTGTTGAATATTAGTCACGCAAGCGCATGCTTTCCTGTCAAAACGTCAAACGCGTCGTGAGCGTTGCGAAAAACGTCCAACGTTACCAACCAGTTTTAAATACTTGCCTCTTAAGACCCCCGAATCACGACAGTTTCTTTTTTGTTTCTTTCATCAAACTAGCTTTGGAGAAAATGAAAGACCCCCTTGTAAAAGCAATCATCACCGTTTGAAATGTCCTCTGTGTGCCTCTGCGCTATAAATAGTGGCCATGGTTGTTTTCCGAAGGGCAGTAAGAGGAGAATTATTCCCCAGAGTGATCCACAGCCCTCCCACCACCCACACCTTGGAGCTCTGATCACACGTCATCCATTATGGGTCATTATGGAGGACAAACCCGTCCCAAGCAATGTTAAACACCACTAGGTGCCACTGTTAGGCCAACATAGAAAAAAATGGAACCCACCACCCCCATCCCTCCCTCATTGCACACTTGCCTTGTAAACAGATGCACCAAATGAGTTTGCAGGGTTTGGAGCTGGTAGACATAAAATGCTTTTTATTATGGGATATATATAAGTCAAAGGCAAAAAAAAAAAACTTACTTTCTATGACGTTTAGTTTTTCAGATGTACGTTTTTAGAGGCAGCAGGCAAAGGTTACAAGTCATGCAAACTAGATAACTTAAGTGTACCTTTGCTATAAAGTTAATAACTTGCAGCGATGCACTGTTACAAAAAGGAAGGGGGAATATATATATATATATATATATATATATATATATATATATATATATGTATATGTGTATGTGTGTGTGTGTGTGTGTGTGTGTGTGTGTGTGTGTGTGTGTGTGTGTGTGTGTAGGATATGTAAACAGTCAAAGAAATTGCACTTTCTTGGCTCGTTAAGAAAAAAAGCCACAACTTAAAAATCACTGACCAATAAAAACATGCTTGTCTAAAAAACATTACAAAAAAAAAGGTATACAATCATAGTCTAATGACAACTGTCTCATGTATTGGTCAGCTGTAAAAGAAATAAAAACCCCACAATGGGATTATTAACTCTTGTCATATAGGTATGTTATGTACATAAAACTAAATGTTATGTATTGTACGAAGTGAGCAAATGCCCCTAAAGTGAGAACGATCTATGAACATTCTGTACACAAAAATAACGAATAAAAACGGTATAATGTAACATATAGTCTTATTTGGGTGTGGGGGGGGGGGAGATATTGCTTGGACACAAGACAGCTTGGCACTTCTACTTAGCATTTTCCTCTTTTTTTTTTCCTGTTAGTTTTAAACACCCTGGGACATTCTGATTGTCAATTAAACATTCTCAAAGGCAGTCAGTCTAAAGTATGTAAAGACACATTTGACCTTCCCTTTCTTCCCAGAAAGCAATACTTGAAGAAAAATAGTTCACAATAAACATTCCTCGTATTCATTGATTTCTTCAGCGCACACACACACACACAAAAAAAACATCTTTCTGAAAACCTTATTAGAGAGTCTTTTGCAGCAGTGCCAAAATTCCTCTCATCATGAAGAACCCCCCCTTCCCCAGAACCCCCCCCCCACGTCTTCTGATTCACTCGCTTGTAAAGTGAAGAAAAGCCAAACAAGTGCTTTTAAGCTGGCGCGCTTCCTCCCTTTCCCTCAAGGTGCAATGTGACTTTGAAAGCTTCATTAGTGACCTAGTTTGCGTTCCCAGCCCGTAGTCCGAGAACCACCGAGGGTCTACGTTCTTTCCCCCCAGTTTTGCTTTAAGGTGCCCAAGTAGGAGCATTGCAAGTGTGTTTTTTTTTTTTTTTTTTTTTTTTTTTTTGTTTTTTGTTTTGTTTTTGTTTCCCGGGGGTAGTATACACACTTGTTTCGTGTCTTTTAGCGTGCTCGGGCACTAGTGCAAATTTCAGCTGGTCTGTTTTCTGTTGATCCTCCCTCTATCTATCTCTCTCTTTTTTTTCCCCCTCTCTTTCGTCCCGGACAAAAGATGTGTTGCCATGGTTTCATCCTTGCTGTGATGCCCTTCAGAGCGCTCGGTTCAGTGGCTGTCAGAGCACGCCGTGATGTCTTTCTCGCGTTTTGAAATTCTCCTCTGCTCCACGCCGGCGTCGGTGCTGTTGACGGGTGTTGTTTTTCCCCATTCAAATGCAGCACCTGTCCACGTGTCTTGAGGGCGTGCCTGGTCCCTTTTCCTCTTGAGTGCTCCTGCCTACAGGGAGAGGAGATACTGTCAATCAGCGCTTGTACAATGAGTATTAGGAGTTGAACCGAGTTGACAAGTTGATGAGTTGACTTTGAGGTTGAACGCTTTTCACGTGTTTTTGGAACCAATTTGCAAAGGACTTTTGTTTCGCTCGTCTGCTGCCCCGTGGCCCGAATGCAACACTCTGTAGAGCGGCAAAATGACGGGCCAAGATGGCGGCGGAGCCTTCAAACATCTGAGCAGGTCCAAGAGTGAAAATAAGATGGTTGTGGATGAGAATAGTACTTAGCCTCGCTAGCTTCAGCTATTCCAATCACCATTCCTGCAGCTTAAGGCAAGTGACATGTAACATGTTTTAAGGCTTTTGAATTCCAGTTTAAATTAAATTCAAGAAAAATTTCCCCAATGTCCCCCGTTGTCCAAAATTGTCTGTTTTTAAGCGTCACAACTAAAAGCACATCTCTGTTTTGTTGGTTGCACAATATTACCGCTAAAGTCTTTCAGTCACGTATTTTCTTCAGAATGTTTAATTTATTTTGAGATTTGAGACTATTTACAATCCTAAAATCTATTTGTCTATATTTTTTAAGACTTTTGAAAGATTGATTTAACACCCCCTGGAGGACCGGTGGTGAGTGGTTAGTGCCAGAAAAGGCTGGCATGATCCACTAAGAACAACTGAAAAGTTCCACTTAGCCAGGTTTGGCCCAAAAGAGGAATTCCGCCTTTCAGTATGACATTGAGTGAAAACACAACATCCAAATCACTGAGAAAAAAAAAAACCCTATGCCAGAGGAAAATTCAAGTTTAAGAAAGGCCGGGGAGTGATTTGAAGGCAATTGCGTACCAAGCCCAGAATGACTGAATGTCGTCATGAAAGCAAAACATTTGTTTTAGTGGAACATTTATGCAACCATCTAATTGTACGCGCACTTTGGAAAAGGTTTTGAAATCTTTTTTTAATTCTTCTGTCCATGGTACTTTATCAAGGCCGTGTTGACTTTCTATAAACATGACGAAGTTTCCCATTGTGTCTCCCGCTCCACTTGCCTCAATGCGTGTGTTAGCTTATGAATGCTGCAGGGTCAAAAGTAAATCGTTCAGCCGCTTTCTCCTCTGCTCCCTGCTGCAT